AATTCCTCTTAGGGGACTTCAGTCCATAACTAGAAAGGACTCACCAGAGTGATCTGATGAGTGTAGGGTAAAGCAGACCAGCACTGATTATGTTGGGACTCAAGAATCCCAGGGAAAAAATCAACTGGGATGGTTGTTTGGTAACATGGATGGAAGCCAGGGGGAGAGAAAACATGGAACCTGGGCTCTATTCATAGATCTAAGATTGGGGAGAGGACCAGACTTGAGGAAACAAAGAGTCATGACAAGGCACTGGGTTTCCACATGTGAGAGTAGATAGGGAGCACACAGAAAGTCACGTGGAATTTGGGCTGGAGCTAGAAGAAGGAATTGAAAGCCATAGCTCTCTGGAACAGAGTAGAGTGCAGAGGGAAGCAACTGCTTCTTTGAGAGAATAGCTCAGACTTTGGGAGTGCTCAGAGCTCAGAAGGCACAGCTGAGTGGGCTAAAAGGTCAGTCTCTCAACCTCATGTTGGAGACAGGTTAGTTGGTGCAAGGTGAGTTCACAAGACAGTTTTTGATAACCACATTACACAAGGGACTCAGGTAGAGCCTTAAAGCTTCTCTAATTGAATAAATTATCACCTGAACATTGTTGCCAATTCTATTTACTTGGCTTTTTCTCAGGTTGGGTCCTAGGAAGGGCAGAGATGAAGATAGCCTTCCATGTGGACGCAGTGCTTTAGTTGTGGTAAAAACATCAGATTGCCAGGAAGCTCCATCAGTAGCCAACCTTAATGTGCTTACCTATAATTTCCACTACAGCTCTCACTCTGCTCCACTGAGCATATATGATATGAGCCCTGTGAATAGGGCTGTCCCAACCTCTGCTCCATCTCTCTTTTCTTCCTCTCAGGTATAGAAGCCACACATGGACTTTGTCTGGCCTTTTGTCCCAGGGCCATTTCCTCTATATCTCTATGATCTTTGAACATTGTCAGTACCCTTCCTTTATGAACAGAGGCACAAATCCCCAGAGATTAGATCAAATTCCCTTTAAGAGTATTTAAGTGAAAGTTGAGTTTTCTGTGCACCAAGACATGTTCACGTTCCTGTATCTGAAGCCTAATTGGACCAGCCAAGTAGGGCCCATCCTAAAAACCTCACTAGGTATAGTCTGTGCTTTCAACTCTGATGCCTATTGGTTGAATTCATTGAATTTTTCTAAGCCAGTAGGCTCTTAGATGGCCTTCTCAGTTCCCCTGGATGTTCCTCTGAGACCCTCAAGTATGTTCCATTGTTGAGTCACCATTATGTTGAAGGTGCTTCTATTTAGGAACATCTTAGAAGTCTTTGGGGAAAGGTATCCTAATACTTGTTCAAAGTCTTTGCTTTATATGTAGAGCTTGTCTCTACCCATTTGACACAGTTGATTACTCACTGATTCTTGAAACTCTCTTTCCTTGTCTCTAGGATGTTACACTCTCCCAGGTTTTCTACATAACTGTCTGGAGGCGCCTTCTGTTTCCTATGGAGGTTCATCTTCCTCTACCCACTCACTAAATACAAAAGACCCTCAAGTCTCTATTCTAGTTCTGCTTTTCCTTTTACTCTTTATTCATTCCCTAGGTGATGTCATTGACTCCCAGGCTTCAAATACCATCTGTGTGCGTATGACTTACACGTTTTTAACCTCGAGCCCAGACCTCCTTTCAGAGCTTCAGACCTGCATATTTAGTTACATACCTTTTGGTGTGTCTCTCAAGCTCAGATTGCACTGAACACATGTATGGTTTCCCTCTAAAGCCTTTCTCATTTTCTGAACCCATAAATACCACTAGCATCTACCCTCTTATGGAAACCAAAGACTTATATTCATTCTTTTCAGTCATTTCTCCTTTGTTCCCTATGCCCCATCCACCAACAGGTTTTGCCTGTATCTATTTCAGGTGGTTACTCTGTAATCACTTGAGTCTAAGAAACTCTCATCTCCCATCTGGATGCCTGAAATGGTCTCAAAACTCATCTCTCAGCCCACTTGTTTCCACACTGAAGCTGGAATGATCTGTTGGAAATAATCTGTTCATATCATTGCACCATGAAAATACTTAAATCGTTTCTTAGGTTACAGAACAAAAACCCTCATTGTGGCCTGTATTATCCTGTGTGAACTGGTTATTGCTGCCCTCTCCAGCTTCTCTCCTAGCCTGTTCTCCATGCTTTCTCATTCCCCATTTTTCAACATTTCTGGAAGCCTCTGGTTCCTTGCCTCACCACATAACCATAGCCTAGGCTGCATCCTCTTCTGCTTTCATGTTTCTTTCATCCTTTCTTCATCTAGATATATCTTTGGAACTCACCCACTGTCCACTTCTTCCCAGAAATGACTCAGTTCCCTGTGACACACCTTCAAGTATTATGTGCCTCTCTGTTTGAACCTTTAACAGAATTGAAAGTTTCCTATTGTTGATTCTTGGTTTATTCATTATATCCCCTTATCCCCAACTACCACTAATTGTAGACTCTATGAGGACAGGGACTATGTCTATTTTGCTTGCTACTCTCTCACCAAAAGCCTGGCATGTATGTAGTGGGTGCTTGTAATTATTCACTGAATGACTAACATGTGAGTCTCATTAGGCTAGGCCATTAACAGTGCTCCTGGAGTCTCTCCAGGGGCTATATGCTCTTTTTATCCCCAGCCTCTACAATAGGGTCTCAGAGCAGACTAAGTAAAGTTTAGCAAGCCAAGGAGTCATTGGTACAAAGCCAGCCTTTCCTCCAAATCCAAATAAAAAGACTGTCAATACTGAGGGGATTGCAATTTTAGGTGCTTTATTTTCTTTGTGCTTGGTCCATGGTGGATTAGCCATATCTTGGAAATCATGTCTCCAATCTGGGAAATGAGAGCTACTACCTAAGAGCCACTCAAAACTAGCCCTCACTTCAGAAAGATGGACTGTTAAAGAGGAGATTGACTAACACCTCCTTCCTGGAATTCTCTAGACTGTAGATGGGCAGAGCATTTTCAGACAGCACTGGAAGTTGATGAGTTGATCTTGCCTTTAGTTGGTGAAAGAAAGGAATAAAATCTCTTACCCCCTACGTGCTTCCAAGAGAAGGCTCTCTGATCCTACAAACAGCATAGTTGGACACACAACACTTGGTGTCTCATCCAGAGCAAAATAGTGCACAACTGACTAAATAAAATAAATAATTCAGTTACACACACACTTTTATCACTTCTCAATTATCTGTTACACAGTGCTAGACACTAGCATTGGAAAGCTGAAAAAGATGCACTTCTTTGAAGACTTACCATTCTCACAATGTTTGACAAAGTGAACACTAATCTAAGTTACAGCAGTTTGGGGAAAGTACTCAGAAAAAGGATACTCTCTACACTCTTAACCAAACAGAAAGAGGTGCACTAATATTCTGAATGGCTGTTCTTAAAAGTCAGTGAGTTTGGTGAATCAGAATAGAAGCTTATGGGTATTAGCATCCCTTAAACTCATGACTCCACTGAGTTCCGTGAATACAGCAATAAAACAAGGGGAAAATTCAATTTGGTTCCATGAGGACAAATGTGTGTGTGGGCAGAGACATGATCCCTTTAAGCTAAACACTGAACAACCACAAACATTTAGGGAGTCCCTATTATGAGTCAGATTCTGTGCCAACAAGGGAAAACAAAGATAAAGGAAGCATAATCTTTTCCCCGAGGAGCTTGCAGACCAGTGGAAGAGACAGATGTGGAAACAAATAACTAATATCTGTACATTGTGGTAAGATATATTGTGAGGTGTGTGCAAAGCGTTACAAAGTTTTATGAGAATTAGAGGAGAGAAAGAGAGAAACTCTTCCAGGGGCACATGAGACCAGAGAAGGAACATTGGCTGATAAAAGGATGAGCTGGTGCTGATGTGGCAGGAAAGTTGGAGTGGGTTAGGAAAAGGATGCTTTGCACTTTAAGCTGCCACCCACAAATGAGGCACCAATGTGAATACAAAGATAGCAGGAGAAAATTGATTTAGAGTTTCCAGTAACACCTGGACCATTCTCCAGACCATCTGAAACAGTTATCTTCCATCCCTCATACACACATGAAGAGGCTGGTCTTTAGCTTTCTTTGGTTTCTGATTGTTGCTATGGCATAAGCGAAATGGTTTCTTAGAGAGAGGAGTGCTGAGGGGCACTTGGAAGTTGAATTCAAGGTTTCTGACCACTGAGGTCTAAGCTTAGAGTCAGCAAACCTGTGTTAATTCTGGCCATAGCTTTATCAACCATGTGACTTCTAGCAAGTTGCCTTTGTTTTCTCATCTATGAAACAGGTAAATCAGTATCTACCTTTGGGACTGTTGTGAGACTTGACCAAACTAATATATGAATCACCCAGTATAAGGCTATACATATAGTAAATCGCCAGCTCTCTGCCTTCCTCTACCAGGAGCTGAATCAACAAGTTCATATCGGTAAAGTACATAAATGCCAAAGATGAAATTAGTCAGCTATCTATTTTCTGAACCAAAGTCAATTCCCTTTAATATACTAAATTTTTTACCCTTTCATTTGTTTCTTATAAGGAGAAAAACAAAAAAAATTGCCTTGTCTTTAAAAAGTCAAATGATTTTAATTATGTTGTCTCAATGTAAAGCTGTTATTTTCATTATTTATCTGAAGAATAATTTCATCAGTCCAAGAACTGAATGGTGGCTCCAAGGTTTGGTCCATGGGACAAAGCAGTATGAGGAATGAAATCTTTCACTTGTTCACACTGGAATAAAAAGACACTCAACACAGCTTTCATGGAAACTTAGAAAACTCAGTTTCTCTGCATGCCAGTTTGTTCATCTTCAAAAGGATCTGATAATAATCCCAACCTCAGAGTGGATTAATTCTTAAAAGGGATTAAATGGGATAATGCGCACAAAGCTCTCAGCACAGTGCCTGGCACATAGTTGGCTCTTAATAAATGGACTCTGTTTTCATTATGACTGTTGTTTAGCCACATATGTAAGCCTTTTCAACATCTTCCTCCTTCCCTTTTCCCCTCACAGGTGCCTCCACCCAGAATTCTAACACTGTGGAGCCAGAGAAGCAGGTGGACAGCACTGTGAAGATGGCTGGGGTGATTGCTGGCCTCCTGATGTTCATCATCATTCTTCTGGGCGTGATGCTTACCATCAAACGGAGGTGAGTCTCTGACACTGCTCTGAAGAATGCTGATCCCAGGTGACCCCAGTACTACCATGTGGCCAAGTCATTGTTCCGTTGATCACTGTCCATCAGGGATCTTCTGGTATGATGGTGAAGCTCCTGAAATACTTGGGCCAACTATGGCTCTTTGTGTTATTTGAAGGGTGTGTGCTCCCTGTTGGGAAAGTGTCCCTGAGAAGGCTAGTATCTTAGGGGGGGAGGTCGTTTCCATGGTTGGGTTACCTTGATGTGCCATGGGATTCTGTGTATTGTGCAATGAGTTTTCTTAAAGTGAATGGCTCTGGTGTGACTGGTCATGTCATCAAGACTGCTGGGGAACCCCTGGAAAATAGCTGAGTTTATAATGCAGTTGGAGGAAAGTAATGTTTTGCCTTTCATACCTCCATTCTCCCCTGATATCTTTGCTTCCCAAGCAGCTTCCTAAGTTGTCCACAAACCCTCCAATGTGGTAAGAGGCCCAGGGAAACACCTACTCCAGATTCTTTCCTACTCCATGCCCCACAAAACTTTCCTAACTGGTTGTTGCTGCATGTCATCTCCCATCAGGAGAGTCCCTGGACATATGTGACCAACTGACACAGCTTTCTCATAGTGTCTGTGTGTTTTCTCCAAGTTGTGTTGCTTTTGAAAGAAAGATGCAGATTCCTCCCTTATCCTCAAGATTCACTACGCCAGCATCTTCTGTTTAAGGGGTATTCACAAGGTTTGAGGATGTTACAAAAGAACTACAGAGAGAAAAGGGAAATGCAAAGGATAAATGTCACCTAACACTGTCCTTAGTGCTCACTGGTTATTCCTCTAAATACATGGTCTTGCTGACCACCTCACCTTAGCTCCTGCCTGTATGTCACCACATGTCACACCCACTTCCCATCTCCATGTCTTCTCAACTTCTCCAATAGGGCTCCAATCTTGGTCTGTACCTTCCCTCTGTCCAGTCTGCCAGAATAAAAAAAAAAAAAGCATTTATCCATATTATAGTAATTTTTGCTGCAATGTGCCCTGCCCCAGTGAAAAAACAGCCTTTTACATTATTAACCAAACTAACATTTCAGCCTGAAGTTCTGGATTTGGTCTTACACACAGAGTCCAGGACAACCTCAAGAACAAGAGCCCGGGACTTTCTTCCACATGCAGGCTGTAAGATGCTTATGAAACTTGTTCCCCACCAGAATAAAGGGACTAAATGCCACAAAGACTGTCTAGCTTCAACCCTAGAAGTCATATAAATATGAATGCAGAAAACATTTTTATTGCAGTACTAGGGCTTGAACTCAAAAACCTACACCTTGAGCCACTCCACCAGTCCTTTATTGTGAAGGGCTTTTATTGAGATAGGATCTTGTGGCACTATTTGCCTGGGCTGGCTTCGAACTCAACCCTCCTGATCTTTGCCTCCTAAGTAGCTAGGATTACAGTGTGAACCACCAGCACCCAGCAAAAAAAAAATTAAAGCAGCTTCCCCATTTCCAGCTATCAGAGACTCAGAAAATACTGGAGTCCCCACTATGCATGCAGCCAGCCTTCTGTCAGCCATGTAGGCATCAGAATGTCTCTCTCTCCCTCCCTCTCTCTCTCTCTCTCTCTCTCCCTTCTGCTTTGAATCAGCTAGTCCTCCCTCTGACCAGCATATCTTATTGCTAGGACCTTTCCCTGTCTTTACATCTTTTGTTGAATGCTATCACTTCTTTCCTCATGCTCCCAGCAGAATGGCTTAAGAGTTAATATTTTCATCCAGCTACTGATTTTCCTACTGGAAAAACTAGGGTGAGGAGGAAGTTCTGTGTGAACACTAGGTACAAAAAGCCCTCAAAGGGCTAAAGACAGCATTACATCATTATGTCTTCATCAACAAAACGTGGCCATCTTGTATGTCTCTGTGACTTATCAGCTGCCATTATATGAGGTAGAGCATGAGCTTTGATTTCTCTGGGGCAGTAAGCACACTGCATGAATTACATCACTGACAGGTTTCTCAGATGCATCTTTATAGATATATTAAATTCAGGGGTAAATCTGGGATTGTCTACCTGGAAAAAGTGACCAATTTAATGGAATTGAATATCTCTTTGATAGACCTGAAATTTTCTCATTCTTTGCCACTGATTTGTAAGTCAGATATGCTCTTCCAATTTTGCTCTTTCTGAAGCCTGGCTTAACCCACATCACCATCATCTGTGAGCTTGTGAAGAAATTTCACTTCCTTCTCAACAGCTATTTCTGAAATGTGTGACTTTCTGGGAGGGAGGAAAGGGCTTTCTGTTTCTAGGGTGAGAGCAAGTATAAAGTGAGACTTTTGTGTAGTTTTAACCTTTTCTGGATATCTTCGTCACCTCTTGTGTCTATAAAACTGTTTATAAGGCCCAATCAACAGGTGTCACGTCATCACCATTTCTCCCCAAAAGGCAAAATTCAAACACTGTGACAGTGTGTAGGGGTTAAGGTGCTAATCAGTGTTTACATATGCCTTGTCTTTCAGTAAATAAGACATATTCTGACCTAATGGTTAATAGGAACAATTTACAGATGGGCATGGGGAGGGAAAAGAGGGACATGAAGGAGTGCAGGAGAGAGGAGGGAGGAAAGAGGAGGAAAGGGAGGGGAGGGAATGGGAGAGGAGAGTAATTAAATAGGCCTTCACTCTTTTTATTAAACTACAATGTCTTCCTGTGTCTAGAGATACCTCAAGGACAGTGAATATGGCAGTTTCCTTCAGTTCTGTGGGCCTCTTCCAACCCAACCCTCTATATAAATATGTGGAAACATTAGTCAGTTGCTCTAGAATAGGTGCCACATGTCATTCTTGTCACGGCTGGACAGAATGCTGTCTATCCCTACCTAAAAGAAGAGGTGTTAAAGGAAAAGAAACCCCCAGGTATTCTCAGGCCAAACACAATTCCTCTGCTGACTTGAGCTTGCCTGCTCTGCTCCCTGCCCTCCATGAGCAGGGCTCTCTCTCTCTCTCCCCCCCACCCTCCTCCTAATGGATTCACTTGTCTCAAAGTCTCCCTGAAGATACAGTCACAAGTGGTTTCAGGAAACATAGATGTCCTCAGCTTCTCTCTCTTGAGGGTTTGCTATCATTGGCCTTAGGGCTCCCTTGCCATTCTCCAAAGAGACTTTCTCTTCCTGTTAGGGTTTTCCTTTAGTGACACAGAACTAGGAAACAGGCAGAGAATGGCCTCCAGTACAAGGATGATGGGAAGGGCTTAATGAACAAAACTAAGTTAATTTACATTTAGATGACTAGAAAAAAGAGAGAGGGACAAAAAAAATCAATAAAATCTGTGGGATGTTTTATTGTTATTTCTGGGATTTGTTTTGTGATGGAGAGAGCACCTTGAGAGATGAATGTCAAAAATTATGTTGGTGGGCAATTTAAATGAGACTTCCCTATAGTTTGCAAAATACTCATGTTAGAGTTTAGAATTCCTTTTGTATCAACCTTAGCTGTTTGAACTGGGTTTTTTTTTAATATGGACCATACATAATAAGGACTACATGGAGATACATAAGATTGCATGAGCATTATAAGAAGGGAACCTGGAGCCCCTCACTGATGCATTTAATTACGGTTACAGTTTTAGCTACTCTTACTACAAAATATCCATCCTTATGCTGTCACAAGATAATGACTGCATCTTTTTCTCCTGGATCTAATGATCACATCTAGACTTTGTAATGTTCTAGGATGGGTGCCACATGACATTATATAGAAACACATACTTCCTTTTTACAAGCAACATGTTGAGTCCTGACATAGAGAGAGACTCTCATCACTAACTCAGTTCCCCAGTCTCAAGTTCATTTCACAAGGCTACTGTATGGTTCCTTCACACAGTACCACAGGGTACTGGGTGCCTTCAATGTAGATTAAAGTTGAAAACTCAAATCTTAATGCCTTAATCAATATATCTTGATGGTTGAAGATGTTTATTAGCCACTTGCATGTGGGAAGTTCTACAATTTAATGTTTGCAGGGTATGAAATTGCATGCATATGTCCCCAAGTTTCAGATAGTTCAATGCCATGCTTTTAGACACAATTCCTGGAGTCTGAAGTCCCACAAAACATGCACTTTTGCACAGAGAAACACTAGAGCCAGGTTAGGTAAGATTGTTTGCAGATATGTACCCCAGTGCTCGTCTGAATCCCATATTAACCTCTCTATCTCTCCATGAGAACTAGGAAATTTTTAGGATGATCAAATCAGTTTGAGGTGGTTCTAGCCACCTCCTATCTCTTCACTTTCTTCCCTGTTCAACTCCTTTTGGTCCAGCCTGAACTTTCTGTCAATCATGCCTGTCCTATCCAAGAGTGTCTTAAATTTGAAATATGAGAATCTGGTTGTTCTTATTCTAGAGACAACTCACTTTCAATTTATTGAAAGTGTACTCTTCTCCTAATAAACTTTGCTATCATTTTCACTAGAAAAAAAAAGAAATATGAGAATCTATTTTAAGAGATACATGTACCTCCAAGGGTACACTGATTCTCTGTAATTTGTATCTGCCCTCTGGTACCATGACTCCCAGCCTAATGGATGTAGACACCTTATGACTGTGAATTAGAATACGAAAAACTGTGTCCAAATTTCTATAGCCCTGTTTATTGCTATTAACTTTGAAGAAACAACTTAACAAATCTCAACCTTGACTTTCTCAACTATAAGATTCAGCCTTGGCTTTCTTCACTGTGAGATGCAGCCAGTCTTATGAGGCTATTCTAGAGATCAAATGAGTTCCTGGTCAGAATAGGCTTCATTCGCCATTCCTGCCTAAGGAATTACAACACACAATATCAACAGGGGCACTCATCTCACATATGACAATCAACTATACCAAGCCAACTCCAAGTCCATCACTAATATGCTAACAGAAGTATTGCAATCAGTACTCACACACTGACCTAATTTCTTCATTTCCCACTGCCACATTCTGATTGTAATCCTCCTAAAGATCATAGTTAGGTAGGCC